CTCATCAATTGTAAGGATGAAAGAGTTCTAAAGTACCCCAGTGGGACTGAGGGTGTGAAAAGACACACCTACAGCCTTTGTTGATGGGAGTAAAAACTTGTATGCTCCAAATGGTGATGGCCGGGGTGTGTGTGTGTGTGTGTGTGTGTGTGTTTGAGGGTGATTTTTCAGATGCTGTAACCTTGAACCTAAAAACTGCACTCTTAAAACTGCACTCTTAGAAATTAATCATATAGCTGAAACCAGTTTGGCTCAGTGGTAGAGCATCGGTCTGCGGACTGAAAGGTCCCAGGTTCGATTCGGTCAGGGACATGTACATTGGTTGGGGGCACATTCCCGGTAGGGAGTGTGCAAGAGGCAGCTGGTCGATGTTTCTCTCTCATCGATGTTTCTAGCTCTCTATCTCTCTCCCTTCCTCTCTGTAAAAAAAATCAATAAAATATATTTAAAAAAAGAAATTAATCATATAGATAAAAACAGAACAAAGAGCATACATGAAGATGCTTATAGCAATTTTGTATCTAATAGCAAAACCATCAGGGAGAGACTGTTATTTCATGATGGTATGTCTAAGCAGTGAAGAACTGCAGCCATGGAAAGAATGCAATCAACCTATAATCACTGATGGGGAATTATTCCAAACTGTATCACTAAGTGAAAAAAGCAAGGTACCTCCTGCTCATGCACTATGGTGGTTCTTTTGTGAAAACCCAGCAAATACATACATATACATCCATCCATCCATACACACATATATATACATATATATGTGTGTGTGTGTGTGTGTATGTATATATATATATATATATATATATATATATGTTTGCATACCAGTAAGGCCGGAAAATCTTGAAAACTCAACATCGGCTGCTTCTGGGAAGTCTTGTTTACATTGTGTAGCCTTTTGCATTGTTTGAACCTGCATGGTTCTCAATTTGTCCCATTTTAAAAGCTGTCCCTCCTAAAGCACATACACATTTGTTGAACATTTCTTTCACAGTAAAAGCATACCCGGGGTTCTGGATATAACCATGAACACTATTGTTTATATCCTCCAGCTTTCAAATGGACATAGTGATTCTCCAAAGGATTGCTGCTACACACTACAGAGGGTGTCACACTCCCCCCACGGCTCACAGAACCTGTGAGATGCTTTCTACAACAGTGAGTGCACCTGAACGTGGTAAGATTCCTGCTACCTGCATTTTGAGTTGATAGTTCATATCAAAGGCTTGCCTAACCCCAAAATTGTTCACAGCACTCACTAACATCCTGACACAATTAATTTATCGGTTAATGAGCTTCTCCTGTCCCAACGTAGAATCTTGAAGCAAGAAATACAATCGTGGCAAATTTAACAATGCTGACAAGGGAAACAAACCCTGGGACTCTCCCCCATCTGAAGTGATGAAACAAGATCTTGAACAACCTGGATATAAGACGTGTATACTGAAGTTATCAGGGTTTGTGTAAAGATGCAAACAAGGAAGTAGGGGATTACTGTAGACTACTTTAACATTTAACAGCTTTGTGGGGCCATATTACGATTAGGTGGTAAAGGTTTGCTGATCAAAAACACCCAAATAATTAGTTTGTTATTAAAAGCACTTTATAGGGAACATGTTTATAGTAACCAGGGATCAAAGAGCTTTGCGTTGCTACAAAGCTACAGTAATCAAGACAGTGTGGTGCCAGCATAAAGACAGACATATCTATCAATGGAATAGAACTGAAAGCCCAGAAATAAACTCTCACAAATACAAGCAATTGATTTCCAACAAGAGTGACTAAAAGACAATTCAATAGGGAAGAGCAGTCTTGTCAACAAAAGGTGCGGGGACGACTGGATAGCCAGATACAAAGGAATGAAATTGGGACTTCTACTTTGTACCATATACAAAAATTAATTCGAAATGGATCAAAGACCTAAATACAAAAGCTTAGAACCACAAAACTCTTAGAAGAAAACATCTGTGTAGACCTTTGTAACCTTGAACTGGGCAATGCTTTCTTAGACGTGACATCGAAAGCAACAAAAGGAAAAAACAAACGGGACCTTCATCAAAATTAAAAGCCTTTGGCCTGGCCAGTGTGCTCAGTAGTTGAGTGTCGACCTATGTGCCAGGAGGTCTCTGGTTCAGGGCATTTACAGGGATTGCAGGCTCGATCCCCAGCAGGGTGCATGTACAATAGGAGGCAGCCAATCAGTATTGGTGTTTCTCTTTCATCAATGTTTCTCTCTCTTTTCCTCTCTTTAAAAACCAATAAAAACATTTTTAAAATATTAAAAGCCTGGCCCTAGCTGGTTTGGCTCAGTGGATAGAGCACAGGCCTGGAGACTAAAGGGTCCCAAGTTCAACAAGGGCACATGCCCAGGTTGCTAGCTCAATCCCCAGTAGGGGGCATGCAGGAGGCAGCTGATCAATGATTTTCTCTCACTGATGTTTCTCTCTCTCTTCCTCTCCCTTCCTCTCTGAAATAAATATATGTATTTTTTTTTAAATTAAAAGCCTGTATGTTTTAAAGGACACTATAAAGTGAAGCTACAACCCAAAGAATTGGGGGGAGAAGCGGGGAGAAACCCTGCAAATCATGTATCTGATGAGCCTTGTATTTAGTATACATAAGCACTCCCTCAACTCAATAAGGAGTATACACAATCCAATTTAAAAATGGACAAAGGATCTGAATGAACATTTCTCCAGAGAATCTGTACAAGTGGCCAATATGCACATGAAAAGATGTTCAACCTCATTCGCCATCAGGGAAATGTAAATCAAAACCACAATGAGACACCAGTTCACATGCATTAAAATGGTTGTATTCAAAGACAGACAATAAGTGCTAATGAAGATGTGTAGATTGAAATTCTCATAAACTGCAAAATGGTGCTGCCACTTTTGGAAAATACTGTGTCAGTTCCTCCAGAGGTTAAATATGGTTACCTTTACAATCCAGCAATTCAACTCCCAGGCATATATCCAAAAGAAATGAATGCCCACCCAAAAACGAGTACACAAATGAATGCCCACCCAAAAACAAGTAAAAGCATGATCCATATTTAGCCAAACAGTAGAAACAACTCAAAAATCCACCCATTGATGAATCAATAAATAAAATGTGGTATATCCATGCAATGGAATGTTACTTAGTAATAAAAAAGAATGAAGTACTGATGCATATAACATGAATGAACCTTGATAAGAGGCTAAGTGAAAGAGGCCAGTCACAAAAGGCCACATGTTGTATAATCCCAGAACAATTCTAGAGAAAGAAAGTAGATAAGTAGTTGCCTATGTTTTGGAGAGGAGGGGGAAGAAATGTGGTGTTAGGGGAAAATGAAGAATGTGCGCTAATGGGTACAGGGTTTCCTTCTGGGGTGATAAAACCATTGTGGTGAAGGCTGCACAACATTGTCAATATATTAAAAACCACTGTATTATACACTTTAAATAGGTGTTTTATATATGAATTCTATCTGAATGCAGTTGCTATTTTTAAAAAGAGCTATGCCAGGACAAAGAACTACAGGATGAGTGTCGATATTGGTATGTACATTTAAAGAGATGACATTAAAATTCCAAACCCTTAAACAAGCATGCTTAAGGGTATTGAAATTCTTCTCACTCAAGTATGTATTAATTTCTTGTCAGGTCCTATTTTAATCCATCACTTTGACAGTCATCAATACAAATGAATTTCTGAAACATTCCAGAATTTCAAATACAACTTTACTCAAAATGAAATCACATTGTACTCAAGTAGAATCAGAGGTACCAGTGACAATGCTATGGCTTAAAAACAGTTGAGCTGAATTTTAGACAAAGACCAGATAGATAATTTGTTGTCAGCAGCCATTAAAATTATATTCCTTGATGATCATGGGCCACCTGAAGAAAAGGGACACAAACTATTTGTTTTTGTTGATTTTTCCATTATTAAATGTCTTTTATAAAACTACTCTTTAAATGAAGCAAACTGGATTTTAAAAAGTGGAGGGTATAAGAGCTGCTATGCAATGCACCCATCATTATACTGAATATTTCTTTAAATATGTTATTGAAAGTATTAGTTATCCTTTTTTTATCCTCCATTGACCCCCTCCACCCAGCTCCTGACCCCTCCCAGGCTTTCACACTATTGTCTGTGTCCCTGGGTCATGCACATATGCATGTAAGTTCTTTAATTAATCTCTCCCTCCTTCACCCACTTCCCTCTGAGACTCATAGTCTGTTGCATGTTTCCATGTGTCTGGATTTATTTTGTTCATCAGTTTATTTTGTTCATTAGGTTCCACACATAAGTGAGATCATGTGATACTTGTCTTTCTCTGACAGGCTTATGAATGGTTTTTATATCATAAAGTGAAGTTGAGCTCTAGTTTCATCTGTGTTGTATCCACCTGATGAACCCCCTACCCTTCCCTGCACATCCTGAAAATAAACATCCTACTTCTGAGAGAATCACTGCTGTAGTTTGAGAATACTATGCCTTCAGAAGGTTGTCCAATGTTTATGGATTTTAGTCACAGGCCTTTAGCCATACCTTTCCTTAAAGAAAGCAAGCCAGTTCTTTTGTATGCCATTTACTTACGGCAACCTTCCTCAGCCCTGCTTCCTGCCTGGTGGATGCACTGACCTAATTTAAACCACGGTGAGTGAGTGAAGGATAGAGATCTTAATAATGAGCCTCGGGTTTGAGGCCACACACAGTCATCTCTGCCATTACTTCCCTGCCCACCTTAAACTCAGGTGAGACAGTGGACAACTCTGAATTTGTCTCCAGCTTTCCTTCTAGCATGTTGTTGCTCACATGAGATACTGCCTTCTTTTCACCCCATTAAGGCTTTACTTTCTCATACTTTTCTTTTCTTTTGAGACCCAGAGGAAAAGCCCAGCTCCTTGTGTAGCCTTTCCTAACAGAATATAAGATCTGTCTGGGTAAGGTTTGTCCGGTCTTAAAAGATTACAGTAATTATTTATTAAAAATTTCTCCTTTTAAGTTAAATCACTTTAATGCAAACATTCAATAGGGCATCTTTCCCATTGCTGCCAAGATCTCATTTCTTTCTGCTGCTGTTGGCATAGGTGGCTTCACTCCATTCTGTCTTCTCTGCATCATGATAGCATTCTGCATTTAGGGAAAAAAAGAGAAGAAACCAAATTCAGTCATGTATTAACTGCTAATTATTTTCCAGTAACTTGCTACTGTATCCTCAAAAAGAATTTTTTTTAAAAAATTACAAAGAAAACCCAAAAAACTAATTGTAAGAGTTCAGATTAAGTTTCAAACTAAGAACAATTAAGTAGAAGTGGCTATTCCCAGAGGACTGCGTTAACGGTGACTGGGATGGGGACATGCTGTTTAACTACAAGAGCACAGTCCTTCGATGAAACCATCACTTAATTTAGCAGAGAGAAATGAAGCAGCTGCACCTTGTGCTCAGAGAAACAGAAATTGCATACCAATGTCTCCAGAAAACATGGGACCATTTAAACTATCCTGGGTGGCAGCGGGAAAGCAGGAGACAGAAATGGAAGCCTAATATGTGTTATGACAAGACAAATCATCCATTCTGTTCATCTCCAAGAGAAGTAAAATTATAACAGGGTTATTGTTTTAGGGCTGCAGATACTCATACACCTAGGAAAAGCCACCTATATTAGAACTGCATTCTTTTACCTTGGAGTAAGATGAGGCAATTAAGAAGACCTCTCGATGATTATTTAGGCTAAAATAACACACTGAGGACAAAGTGGCAAGGTTAAGTTTCCCTACAGCCATCCCAAAGGCGGGATTGTGGGAACTGATTCATTTCAGCCTTCATTTTCGAGCCTAAGGGATGAGTTAGACCATCTCATCTAACCTCGCTAGACTTACCCAGAACTTTCGGCAGTTTTTGTACTTCAAGAAGTAATTGGAACACATTTCCCTGTCATAGTTATTTTCATCCATACATCTGGTAGAAGCATCAGATTCCTTAAATATGTAAGATAGGCATCATTTAAGAGGTGGGATAGGATCTAAAAAACCCAAAATAACTTCTGAAGATGCTTCCTCCACAAAGCAGCTAATATGAAACAGTTTCCTTTTGTTTGTTTTAATGAACATTTAATGAACAAAAATTGAATTATTTTTCCAACTATCCCAGGCAGTCATTCTGCACAGGGCAGACATCTTCCTTTTTGTAGTCTGGGTCAGTTTGTTGAATATCTAACCACGGGAATTTGAGCCAAAGCACTGACCGAGATCATTTAACCCAGTAACCATTTAACAAAGAGGCTGTGGCAAGGTGCAATGTGTTCAAAATCACTGCAGCACAAGCTAGAATCAAAATCATCTCTTGACTCAGAGGGCAGGTCTCCTGCTTTTCCCAGTTCTGACTTTGACTTGAATGTTTGATGTTAATGCTAGTTTTGAGATCCTAAGTAAATTGCTAATAACTGGTCTACATCAAGGCAACTTAAATTAACACCATTCATCTCCATGTATTTTTGCTATCATTATGCAAGTAAATACACTATCGTGTGAGCGATTTTAATAGATATCATTAAGATCACTTCAAAACTAACGTGAGCAACACAGGGCTATGAGTTCAAAGGAGGGTAGCTGCCATTTGGGAATGAAATTCAAGCTGTCTGAACTGGAAGCAGATTGGATAACAAACTTCAAAGTAAAAGGTATGATTCTGAGAGGTCACTACCTAAAGGAAAGCTTTAACTAAACAGGTAATTTGCTTCATAGATCAAAAAAATATTTCTATCTAAAGAGACTTAGTAAAGCAATTGAAAACATAATATTCAGAACAAATCTAAATTTCTATGCCAAATAATTAATGAATGTGTATGTTTAGAAAATCCATATAGGATTAGGGAATATCATTTCCCTAGCACTAGTCTGGTGATTACATTATCCCAGGGTGACAAAACCAGAAATACTGCTAGTCATACCAAATAAATGCCAACAAAGCTTATTATTCAACAAAGCATTTTGTTTATATATCTTTGTGAAAATCTTTAGAGTTTAAATAGACTAATTCTATATCAGCCCCTTACCCTTGGCCAGGTGATCTCAAGGACATGATGAAATTATTGCTATTAAAACGTAAATTTCAGTAACAATTTAAAAACATCATATTTTCCAACTTTCCATGTTTGAACTAAAAATTTTCCTCAGTGTTACATATGCTTGTTTAACATTATAGTGACAACTAAATGCTTGCAGATTATATAAATAAGGAAAACTTAAAAGAGATAAATCTTTGTTAGCTAAATTATGCATATCTAAAAATGTCCTAGTAAAATAAGGATAGACTAGTTAGGAATATTTTTTTTTTGGACAGAAATAACTTTTAAAAAATGGCAGAAAATAGAAACAGATTGGTAGATACAGAGAACAAACTTATGGTTGCCAAAGGGAAGGGGGCTTAGGGATGGATGAAAAAGGTGAAGGTACAAACTTCCAGTCATAAAATAAGTAAGTGACAGGGATTTAATGAGCCCAGGGAATACAGTCAATGATAACGTACGGTGACAGATGGTTATATTTGACATATTGTGGTTATCACATCATAAGGAATATAAATGTCAAATAACTATGTTGTACACTTGAAACTAATATATGTCAATTATACTTTAATAAAAATAACTAAATTAATTAAAAAATAATAAATGACATAGTAAAAAAAAAAAGATGGAAGTGACTATTTACTGGATTTCTGAGTAGGAAATATAAAACTTCTGTATTTTTTAAAATCCCATTAAAATAAAAAAGCAAATAAAGAGAGGAAAACATTTTTTTAAAAAGACTGCAGAAAACAGATACCCACAAAACCAGAAGAAGCCTGTTTTCCCAGCTTAACACTCACAAAAATTAAAAGCAAACCACCTTACCAACAAGCAAGGATTTGTATCAGGATCTCTCATTCTTCGTGCTACCATTGGCATCCTAACAGTCTTCTTACTGAAGGTAGTAAATGTTGGGGGAAAGAGTTATACAGTGGATGTCATAAAACGAATCAATAAATCTCATTAGCCCCATAAATGCTTGAAAATTACTTTTGGCATAGTGATTATCTAGTGAGGAACTTCCTACAGCCTATGTATTGGGGAAAAAAAAAGACTTGGATATGTTTTTCCTTTGCATTGCCATGGTGCCTCAGCACAAAGGTGATATTTAAGTACATCTACTGAAATATTGATTGTGAAGTCCAAAAAGAAAGATAGTTCAGCTAGCATTCAATTTTAGTTTATTTTTATTTCTAAAGGTTAAGCAATTAATTATACTAACAAAACCTAAGAATACAACATGCACTCTAACAGTTGTTTCCTTATTATACATTGACTAGAGGCTCGATGCACAAAATTTGTCATGCAAGGGACTCGGCTCTTGAGACTCAGCCGTCCTCACAGCCCTGGCTTCATCTGAAGGTCGTCCGGACAGTTGTTCTGCTGTTTGATCTAATTAACATATTAGCTCTTTATTATATAGAATTAGCATACAAAAATATATGTGGAATAACCCGACTTTAGCAAAAACATTTAACTAAAGAGCATGAATGCCTATTCCATGGCCAGCACCACAGTGCCAATATACCAAAAAATAAAAGTTACTGCTTAGGTGAGATTTTGAAAAGTTTTTTTGTTTGTTTGTTTTGTTTTTTTAAGTTGAAACCTGATTTCCAGCATTATCTTATATTTAATTGATATTTCTGGGTTGAAGGAATCAGGGAAAGCTACTGTCATTCATTAATCTTTCAACTCAAATCTTCCAGATACAGCCTCAGAAGTCTTTATTGGTTAAAAGTGATAACCATTCCCTAAGAGCCAATTAGTTATATTCCCAGCCAAGTCATATACTCATATAACTGGCATGTCAACTACAGTCCACAACAATTGCTTTCTATAAGTAAGTTCAACTGAAGTTGGTATGCTTATTATCTTCAAAGACATATCATAGGAACTAAAAGAAAAAATTATAAAACTATATTTCAAAGTGATTTTCTTGTTTCAATATATTGTATACCATGGATGAACCACCTACAAATATTTTTTTTCAAATATGTTTTTATTGATTTCAGAGAGGCAGGGAGAGGAAGAAAGAGATAGAAACATCAACGATGAGACAGAATCCTTGATTGGCTGCCTCCTGCATGGCCCCTACTGGGGATTGAGACCACAAACCAGGCATGTGCCCTGACCAGGAATGGAACAGTTACCTCCTGGTTCATAGGTCCATCCTCAACCACTGAGCCACCCAGGCTGGATTACAAATATTTTTTCAATGCGCTGCACTAAGTTTAAAGAGCTGATTTAATTTATATTCTCGAAACCTGTTCTAGCTTAGTTATTTCACATAAAGATTGAAGGGAAAGACAGCAAATAATGTAGTGTGACTTCTAAAATGCCACAGAATGAAAACTATTGTACATCAGCATAACCAGACAGAGGTCAGAATTTTTTGTATGAAATGGTTTCTTCTTTCATTGCCCAAGATGGAACCATCAAAAAATATTATCATGTGCCGGGACTGGTTTGGCTCAATGGATAGAGCGTCGGCTTGGGGACTGAAAGGTCCTGGGTTCGATTCCGGTCAAGGGCATGTACCTTGGTTGCGGGCATATCCCCAGTAGGGGGTGTGCAAGAGGCAGCTGATCGATGACTCTCTCTCTCATCGATGTTTCTTACTCTCTATCTCTCTCCCTTCCTCTCTGTACAAAATCAATAAAATATATTTAAAAATATATACATATATATATATATATATATATACATATATATATATATATATCATGTTTAAAAAAAATACATTCAGGACTAATTGTCAAAACCCACAAGCTCCTGAAAAGGGGAGGTATTCTCAATCAAGAGTCACCAAGCTTGGTTTCGTCAATTATGGAATAATCAGGTTGTCCAGGCTAAGAGAGACCAACCTTTGCAAAGAAGGATGAAAAAAAGTTTAGTCAGTCATTCTGGAGTCCTTGCATACCCATGATGCAATCCTTTTTTTTTTTTTTTTTATGGTTTTCATTGAACAGTACATGAATATAACTGGCTAACAAAAACATCTTGGCAAAAGGGATATTCAAAATGTTGCTCAAATATATCTAGAAGTCTCTTCGTCTACGGAACACAATTCTTTCCCAGGCTTGACATCCTAGAGAAAATGATGGTACTGCATGCACAGCCCTGCTATTTGTCTATCCTATGATGTGAGAACACAGAACTCTTTGCTTTGCTGTTCATATTCCTGGGATGTCATCTCAACAACGATCAGATGCATGCCTCATGTGAAAGTGTCCTACTCTACATTTTATCATCATCATGAGGGGTTCTTAAAAAAAAAAATAACCTCTAGATAACATCACATTTACCCCAATAAAGTCTGCAGCATGAGTTTATCCACATGTCATTTCCTTTCCGCTCCGAACTCTAAACACACGTCCATCTACATTTGGACTTCTGAATGTCACCTTTGCAAAAATATTCCTCACGTGTGAACTAGAAATGTCAATTTACAGTGAGAAGTGGTCCGCTAGAGAGAGGCCTCATCTACTTCACTTTCTGGATGTGCTAGACAGAAGTGATTGGTGCAAAGCTCTCCTTGCCAGAAAGAAAGCAAAGAGTTGAAGGAAGGGCCTCCCAAGCACATTTGAGGAACAGCTCTAACAATCTCCCCTACAGGGCAGACTTCTTTAAGAAGTATTTGCTTTCCTTCCCATCATGTCCCCACTCTCCAAGCACCAGTAGCTTTGTAAGGGAAAGGGGAAGGGGCCTTGCGCCCACGTCCACAGGCTGGCCAGAGCCAAGGCAGAGCTCTGTGCTCCTGGCAAAGCGCGGATGCAACTCTCGGGCAGCTGGAGAATGTCCCCGTGAGGGCCTAAAGCCCTGCTCCCACCTTTGGATGCAGGGAGACAGGGTCAGGAAAGTCAGGGTGGCATACCGGAGGGAGGCGGGAAATCGAATGGAGGAGCCGGAGAGGATGTAAGCCCGAGACCTCGCTGCCTTCCTTCCGCGACTGCAGCCCGTCCAACCGTCTGACCGTGGACGGCGGGCACAGGTGGGCACACCTTGCTTCCACCTTCGACGGGCGCCGAGGGGGCAGGTGGTGACGACCAGGCAGGACACTGGGGTGTAGGCGCAGGCAATGACGCTTCCAAGGCTGGGAAGGAGGCTGAAGACACAGCTGGGGTGGCCCTGGCACGGGTCCCCTTTCTCGTCCCCGGCCCGAAAGAGGAGACCCGGGAGGAGAAACGAGGGGAAGGGGCCCGCGCCGCAGCGAGGCCTGGTGGAAGCAGCTCCGCGCGGAAGTGTGTGCGGGCCCCGTGGCGGCTCAGGTGCAGCCCACGATCCCCCGTCCCCTGCGGACGCCACAGAAGGAGGGCTGCGGGATCACTCACCTCGAAGTGCCGCCGCTTCGCCAGGCACCCGACACAGTCTCCAGCTCCAAACACGTCAATAGCTCCCGCAGCTGGACCTTAAGTAGCGCGCAGCCTAACGTGCTGCCCCCGCTCCCCGGCGGCCGCCCGCCCAATCGGCGAGCGCCGCCGCCTGACTGACAGCCGATCCCGGCCCTGCGCGGCGGGGGGCGGGCGGGCCTCGCCCCGCCCCCAGCTGGCGGGAGGAGGGCCGAGGAGGGCGGGGTGGGCGGGGCGTCGCGCTCGGCCCCACCGCCCCTCGGCCCGCCCCTTAACACTTTCGCTTGATCGGCGGCTCCTTCGACCAATCGGCTGGGTCCATTCCCGGCGGCGCGGGGCCTAGTGGGCGGGGCGCATTCGGGGAGGGGGCGGCCGCAGCGGCGGGCGGGGCCCGGGAGGCGGGGCCGGCGGGGGGCGGGGGCGGCGGCCGAGCAAGGCCCGGGGAGGCGGCGGTGGGCGCGACGTCGGCGGCGGCGGCGGCTGCGGCGGCGGCAGCTGCAAGTTGGGCTGCAGGGGCAGCGCATACACTACAATGGCTGCTGGAAAGAGGCGTAAGGAAACAATTTCCAGGCCCGCCGCGTCCAGCCCGAAATATGAGAAAAAAATTATTAGAAATTCCGCGGGCGGTGTAAAGGCGGCGGACGGGCCGGAGGGAGGATGTTAAAGCCCCGCGGTGAGTCCTGCCGGGGTCCGGGGCGGCGGAGAGGCGTTTAGCGGGAGGAATATCAGGGTTCTTTAAATTATGGGACGAGCCGAGGGGGCAAGAGGAACCGCGGCGGCGGCGGCGGCGGCGGCCGGAGGAGGAGGAAAAGTTTGTGCTCACTCCCAGCCCCTGCTCGGGACCCCGGGGAGGAGAGGGAAAATAATAATAAAAAAATAAATTAAAATAAAATAAAAAATTCCTGGAGGGGTGGCGAGGACTCCCCGAAGGTAGCTTCTGACAGGGCAGGGGGGCAAGGCGGCTGGAGACCCGAAGGTGAGGTCGGTGGGAAAAAAAAAAAAAAAAAAAAAAAGAAATAAAGAGAGAAGAAGAAGAAAAAGAAAAAAAACCTTTATTCGGGGTCTGGAAAGTTTGAAAAGTTTTCCTCCTCCTCCTCCTCCTCCTCCTCCTCCTCTCTGGTGCTGTGAATATTGTGACAGCGGCGGCAGCGGCAGCAAGCGAGAGCGGAAGACATTAAGAGACCCGAAAAAAATAAGGGAAAAAATTAATATAAATTCGGTTTTAGGAGCAAAGTCCCCGCATTTTCCACCAAAACATCCCGGGGGGAGGTGGCTCCCCAGGGGGCCCGGCGGGGACCCGCGGTCGGCGGTATTTGGGGGGGAAACTTGGAGTGACTTGGGGTAACTTTGCCCCTTTTTTTTTTTTTTTTTCCACCCAAAGAGGTTTTTTTTTTTTTTCTTTTCTGGCGAAATGGATTTGTGTGTGTGTGTGTTTTTCTTCGCCCTTTCCCTCCTCCCCAGGTGGGCGAGCCGGGGTCCGGCCGCGGGGTCCCCGGGCGGGTGCGGGCCGGCGGGGTGGCGGCGGGAGGGGGCGCCCGGGGGAGGGGGCGCTAAATGAAAGCAGGAGAGAGCGAGATCTCTGCGCCGAGCAGGGACAGCTTGTTGTCAGTATCATAAACAACCAAAATGGAGGGAGAACTCAGGCATATAACCAAATAAAAATTTTCAAAAAATCGCAAAAAATCCCTACGAGCCCGGGATGCTCCCCGTTTCCTCGCCAGAGGTGAAAGCACGAACCGCCCTTCCCCGGAGGTCCATTTCGGCGTCGCAGGGACCGAGGAGTGAATATTTATTTATTTTTTCAGGGAAAAAAAAAAAACTTTTCTTCGAAGGGCAGCGGCGAAAAAAAAAAAAAAGCCCTTCTTATAACTTCCACCGACAATGAGGAGAAAACGTGAAAATCCGATGCAGGGGGAGGAGGGGGGGGAAAGGAGGGAAGAGGGGGGGGGAGGTGGCAGGGCAGAAACTTGCTAAACTTTATCGGGCACTGGGGGCTGATCCGAGATAAGATAAACAGTATATTTGTGCGATTTTTAATAACTCTCTTTTTGGTGATCTTCGCTGGGTGTTGGGTTTTTTTTTTGTTGTTGTTGGTTTTTTGGGGGGGTTTTTTTTTGGAGGGGAGGGGGGTGGGTGGAGAGGGGGGGGAGAAAAAAAAGTGATGCCATTTCTTTCTTAATGGAGTTAATATGTGTGATGGGAAGAATAAACCTTTCCCGGCTTTTGGATTGCAAATTTTGGTCGCGTTTCTGCCTCAGGTTTTGTTGGTGGCTCCCTCCTTTTATTTAAAACGGAGCTCCACCGAGGAGGGGTGGAGGGAGGCGACTGAGAGCCTGGGAGTGCGGGGCTGGGAGCACCTTTCTGGGGAGGGTGCTTGGGCCGCTCCCTTTCCTGACCATGTTGGCTTCACCTGTTCATCCTCCGTCCAGAACGTGAAGCTGGGTTGTTTTCATGGCTTTCGTGTATATAGAAAGGGCATGGTATGCCTCTTGCATCACATGGAAGCTAATGGGAAAGTGCTGCTGATGTTGGTTCCACGTGGGATATGGGACAGAGCAGGGCATTTTAAAGGGACAGCTTCTCTTTTCCCCCCACCCCCCACCCCCTGTGGTTTCCATCACCTACACAGAGCCCCTGTCTGAGGACCAGCAGCAGAGGTGCTGGGGAGGGGGGGTGGTGATGGAGGAGCCTTCTTTTCCATGACTCAAGGGCGCCCACCTTTAAGGAGTGATGGAGGGGAAGGAGGGGCACGCCAGCCCCGCAGAAGATGGATATTGTGTAGATGAGGTTGTTTCCAAATTGTTCTTTTTGTGTCACAAGCCCTCCCAGGAACTTTTTCATGTTACTGTTGCTTTGCTTTTTGGAAGGCTGATTTTGGAAGGAAGGGTGGAAAAATGGAAATAGTTTAAGGTGTGTGGTGTAATGGTATAGCATTATTGAACAGTTATGAATTCTGTGCAGTGAGATCAAAGGGCTTTGTATGCCCATAATGTGATTTTACAGCCATTTTGTTAAAAAAAAAAAAAGCTGTAAAATGCTAATATTCAATTTGGCTTAAGGTACAGGGAGGACTTCTGCTTGAAAACTGTAGACAGAGCTCTTGATGGAGATTCTTTAACACTAAGCACTTTAAAGGGAAAAGAAAAAAAAACACACACACACACCAACACCATGGAAAAGTTTACGTCCACCCATTTTTAAAGCCCATCCTATACATGTGCTGTAATTCTGTGCCTTTGGAATGACAAGGTTTTTTAAATCCTGAGACCTATCAGTCTGCATCTTAAGTTAATTTGCTTGTGTTATTTAACAAAATGTTTACTGAGCACAAACTAATGTCACCTCTCATGGTGTCAATTTCCACAATATTTTCAAAAATTTAAATAATGTAAATTGTTAGCTGTACTCTATTGGGATGAAGGTTAATCTTGAATAAAAATTACTTGTGTTCCGTTTTCCACAGGTAAATGGAGTTTCTAGGATAAATGCCTATTTTCCTTTGTTTTTATGATTTATAAAAATAGATTAAAAATACAGCTAGATTTTTATGCTGCTTATTCAGAATATTTTTTTCTTGCCATACTATACAAACAAATTACTCTTTTGGAGTCCACTGTATGTTAACTTGTGTTCACAGCTGAGCTCTTATCTGCACCTTTCTGTAAATACCTCCATAACAGCATTACATCGGTGTAGTGTTTGAGTACATCATCTTGTGGTTTCTGATTTTGGAAGCAATTACAACTTTATAAGAAGTCATTAAAAATTAATCCCAGGAACTGCTGTTAAATCAAAATTGATTGGAAAGTGATTAAACTATCAATACAGAAGAGAAACTTTGTTCCTCCCCCACATAGTCTTCTGTCCAGAGATTTGAGAATGCTATTAGTGCTTATAAAGCCTTTGAAGTTTATCTTACATTTTTATTGTCTTTTGACTCAAGACAGTTCCATTGACTCTAAGTAGTCAAAATTAGGCTGTGTGTTTCAAATAAATGAGTCTTTTGGATAAATTCAGTTTCTGTAAAAGTGAAGGAAAAGGATATTTCTTCCACTTATTTTAGAGCATTGAGTTAAGCAGGTTGTTTGGACACTTCATGTTATGGTCCTTGTCAACCTAAATAAAAGTGCTGGCATTGTGGGGGAGGGGGTTTCTCTCAGAAAGGGAGATAGAAAACTTCCCTCAGGTTTGGTTTGACATAACTAATTACTTGTCTGAATTAGAAAGTGCACAAGTATAAAATCTGTAATTCCTTAGGGAGTCTTTAGATAGGGCACAGCACAGTATCTACTTTGAATTGGTTGTACTGAGCTTTTTTAATGCCTTAGAAATACTATCTGTTGAACATCCTTTTTCTGAAGCTACAATTAAATTATACCAATTTCCAGAAGTAATCGAAGGATATTATATGCCCAAAATCTGTACATCAGTTAGAAAAACCTCATAGATTGAGATTCTTATTTGAAATTTATATGCCTAATTTTGCTATTTGTTACAAGGAATTTATTTGCTTCGGAAAATGATTTATAAATGTGATGTAATACTGATAAAATTCTATATCTGTATATTAATTATAACCAAAATGTTTTAATCAGACATAGCTAAACAAGTGCTTTTATCAATATATTAAAGATTTAAGGTTACTCTGTGGTTTGATATTATGCAAAGGTGGAAGGGGGGGGGGTCCTTTATTTTTAACAGAATCCTGGTTGTTACTATATACATTTTATTTTGGCATTCTGAAATTTTTCCTCTTTAGGATTAAATTGTTATTTGGCAAATTAAGTGTAATGTGCCTGTCTTTGAAATTGGAAAAGCCAGATAACTGAAACATATCTATAACTATCTTTGAAGTTTTGTTTCAATAATCAGTTGCCTATCAAACTGTATAATCAAAATATTGGTTCCTTCTAGGAATTTATTAATCTTTTATTTACAGTAATGTTCTTTGAAAATTAAGATACATAAAAAATT